GTATGACTTTAATTGCGTTTCATCCCCAACTTCTCTCAACGAAATAACGAAATTCGAAAAAATAAATGACATTTCCATCAATGTTTATGGTCTGGATGAAAAAGAAAAGATATACCCTCTAAAAGTCTGTAAAACGGAATTGAAAGACCATCGCGATCTTTTACTCCTGTCTGATGATCAAACTTCCCACTATGTTTACATAAAGAATTTTGAAAGATTAGTCGGAAACCAAATTACCCAATACGGACATAAAGTAACATTTTGTAAGCGTTGTTTTACACATTTTGACAACCGGTATGGGAAAAAATCAGGTGATAAACTTGAAGAACATAAAATATATTGCTCTGAAAATAAACCGGTAAGAATTGAGCTACCGAAAGATCCCTTTATCAGATTCTCAAATGTTGAGCGACAAAGTAAAGTACCGTTTGTCATTTATGCTGACTTTGAATCCGTATTAGTTCCTATAAACGAGTCGTCATTAAATACGACCAAATATCAGAGGCATGATCCGATATCGTTTTGTATATATGTAAAAGGAATTGAAGGAGTAGACACTCAGGTAACCGAACCGTACGTTTATAGGGGAGCAAATGCCGCTTCTCACTTTATGGAATGTATTGTAAAAATAGCAAACAAAATACAAGAAATTTATATGATAAACAAACCGATGCGGATCTCATCAGAAGAAGAGGAAGATTGGTCTAAAACTAACACCTGCTACATGTGTCAAAACGTATTTAATGAAAACAATATAAAAGTAAGAGACCACTGCCACCTAACAGGAACTTACTTAGGACCATCTTGTAATAATTGTAATTTAAAACGTGTGAACCCCTCGTTTGTACCTGTTATAATGCATAACTTGAGCAATTATGACGCACATTTCATAGTTAAGGAATTGGGAAATATTCCTGGAGATATTGAGGTTATACCAAACAACGAAGAAAAATATATATCATTCACTAAACATGTGGGTAAAATAAAATTGAGATTCATAGATTCTTATAGATTCATGCCACGAAGCTTAGATTACCTTGTACAATCGCTATCAATGGATAAATTCAAGGAAACTTCAAAATATTATCGAGATGAAGAATTAGTATTGGTTACAAGGAAAGGTGTGTTCCCATACGATTATATAGATAATGCAGAAAAATTAAATGAAACAGAGCTCCCACCCATTGAAGCTTTTTACAATAAATTATGTGAAACTGATATCAGCGTTGAAGATTATAAACATGCTCGAAACATATGGAAACAATTCAAATGTCAATCTTTAGGAGACTATGCAGATGTTTACGTTAAAACTGACGTTCTTCTACTTTGTGACGTCTTCGAATCTTTTCGCAATGTTATGTTGAAGACGTATAAACTTGATCCAGCTCATTATTTTACCGTTCCCGGTTTGACGTGGGATGCGATGTTAAAATATACAAAAATGAACATAGAGCTTTTACAGGATTATGACATGATTTTAATGATAGAGCATGGAATTCGTGGAGGGTTGTGTCAGGTATCGCACCGGTATGCAGAAGCAAATAATAAACATATAAGTAGCTTCAATTCAAACGAAGAATCCAGTTACATAATTTATTTAGATGCAAACAATCTTTACGGTCAATCGATGAGTATGTATTTACCGTATGGAGGATTTGAGTGGGTTAAAAATCCGGAATCTATAAACATCTTCGATCTTGAGGACGAGGATGAAATTGGATATATTTTCGAAATTGACATTAGCTATCCTCAAGAACTGCATCATATTCATAATGATTTGCCCTTTTTACCTGAAACAATTGTATCACCGGAAGCCAATTGTAATTCAAAAAAATTAATAACCCATTTCGGAAAAAGAACCCGCTACGTTCTACATTATAAAAATTTGATGCAAGCCGTAAAACATGGATTAAAATTAGAAAAAATTCACCGTGCATTAAAGTTTAAACAATCACCTTGGCTTCGCTCGTATATAGAATACAATACAGAATTGAGAAAAGGAGCTTCCAACGACTTTGAAAAGGATTTTTATAAGTTACTAAACAACGCAGTTTTCGGTAAGACAATGGAAAATATCAGGAATCATCAAAATATTCAACTAGTAACTGACGTGAAAAAGTTGATGAAACTCATTGCTAAACCAAATTTTATAGACCGTACAATCTACAATGAGAATATAGCGGCAGTGCCTATGGGAAAATCTAAAGTTATATTTAACAAACCTATATATATCGGTATGAGCATTTTAGATTTATCTAAAACTGTTATGTACCAATTTCATTATGACATTATGTTAAAAAAATATTCCGGTAATACCTTAAAAATGATGTACACCGATACCGATTCCTTTATTTATAGAGTTTTAACGGAGGATGTCTATGAAGACATGAACAAACTGAATCAGTATTTTGATTTCTCAGATTATCCTAGAACTCATCGCTGTTTCTGAAGAAAACAAAAAAAGGTTGGGAAAATTTAAGGATGAACTAAATTCCAAGATAATTTTAAAATATGTGGGCTTACGAGCAAAAATGTATGCGATTATGACAGAAAGTGATGTAAAAAAGCGTGCTAAGGGTGTAAAAGCGTCATCGTTAAAAAAATATATTAGTTTTGAAGATTACGAACAAGTACTATTGAAAAATGAAATCATGCATACACCTATGAGATTAATACAATCGAAGCAACATAATATTTTTAGCTCTGAGATTAATAAAGTTTCTCTTTCACCATTTGACGATAAAAGACATATACAAGAAGACGGGGTCAATACTTTGGCCTATGGTCATTATAAATTGACTGAGGTGAAAAAATAGAAAGAAAATTTAGTAATATTTTTTAGTCTGTGAAGTTTTTGTGAAAAAGAAAATAATAAAAAAATATATTTAAAAATATATTCTAGACAGTAGGAAAATTTATAAGTGTGAATGGAGGTCCCTGGAGAGGCTATAAACGCCCGTAAACCAATGCGTGTGTTTTTGGTCACTGGCGAGGCTATAAACGCCCGTAAACCTGTATGTTATGGTCACTGGCGAGGCTATAAACGCCCGTAAACCTGTATGTTATGGTCACTGGCGAGGCTATAAACGCCCGTAAACCACCCTCTCGATGCATCTTCACCTTGCCGTGGTGAGAGGGCTTAAAGCAGTAGGCTGAACTAAGAGAGATGCACACAATCAGTAAAATATACACAGATAATTCTATTTTATATAATATTTTTTTGTACATATAAAATCAATATGATTTGAAAAAAAAAAAATACAAATTCTACAATTATATCAAATAAAATGTACTATTAGTCAATGTGTGATACATACTACTGTCCTGGTAGATGAATCCTTTGCCCCTTCAATAAAAAATGATACTAACCATCATGCACCGAGGACCTGTGCCAGAATCGGTCTTTTCTATCTACTTTTTTTAATTATATTTTTACCCAATTCCCAATAAAATTTTGCCATTTTTACCCGTTGAACCAAAGAAAAGTTTAAAGAACTTAATGGGTTCGAAATCCTGCCTCATCCACCATATAGTCCAGACCTCGTACCATCGGATTAATACTTATGTAGATCCATGGGCCATTTTCTTCAAGGGAAAAAATTGACAATTATGCGGAAGTTGAAGTTGCAATCCAAGAGTTCTTTGACAGCCATCCCAAAGAATATCAGCGTGGGATCGAGCTATTGGCTATCAGATGGCTAATGATGGTAGATAGCAATGAGTCCATTGTAAATTGTACATTGAGTATTAATTTTGTTTTATATCAAAGAAATAACAATAAAAATATTTAATTGAAAAACTGTTAGTATTTTTTTTTAAACACCCTATTAGTTCTCAATAAAGAATTGAAATTAAAACTGTATTAGATACCCCTCCCCCCTTATTTACTCCTTTATGTGATATTGTGTGAAGGAATGAGAAGGAATCTATAGTAATGTGAGGTTGCTCGATGAATTGTACTCAATTGTGCAGTGGACAAATTATTCATTGAAAAGTTTCATATCGATAAACAATCGATGGAGGAAGAAGGTTGGAATAGGACAGAGCAGGTATCAGCAGCTGGAGAAGGAGGCTGGAGAGAAGAGAAGGCACTCTAGGCCTGGACAGGAAGAAACGAGGTTATCAGAAGAGAGAGGCACGACACTGAAGACTAAGAATATCAAGCCTACGGTTATAAGACGTTAATAGATTACTTTATTATCAGTTGTCAAAATAAATAGTTCTGTTATATAGGAGTGAAGAGTCATTTTATTTAGTTGTCCTATAGGCCTCACAATTGAAGAATAACAAACCAGGTGAGTCAATTCATTCAAAGTGTGTTTATTAAGTCACACATTTCATATCTATATTCATATTGTTTCTTCTCACTCAGTGTCACAAAAGTATTAGGTTCCCGAATTCTCAAAAACAGTTAAACACCCTCAAAAAGTCTATATCCAGTGCCGGGGTTTTGTTTAATATTCACGAGTGTAAATAATCTAGTCCCCTGATAGAAACGGAAGGCTATTCGCTATTCCCGCCAAATAGAATATTTAAAATTAACCTTTAACATGTTATTGACAAAACAATCAAATAGACAGAAGAAGAGACAGTACAAAAAGTGTACATATTTTAGTAAAAACAGATATCTGTCAGCAGGACGGTTAGTATTACATCCTCACTTCTAGACATAAGAGCTAAGACTTATAAGACAGAAGATAATTCTGAAATAGAAGTTATGTTACGAAATAATTAGACTAAAATTAACCATCGTTGAAATTAATAATAAATACAGTTATTTCTACTATTAACTAGCATTCATTATATATTTACTTAATGTGGACAAAGTTGATAAATAAACTAATCTGGACTATAATATACAGTATTATATAATAACATGCATGTATATGTGGTAGTATATTTGTACATAAAATGTTTATTATAAAATAGGTCACGTTTAATAGACCAAAACAAAAAAAGGGATATTACATTAAGTAAACTCCTCTTTATTGTTAATGAAGATGCTATCAATTTATGAAGATCAATATTTGACGATGCTATCATTGGCCTCCGGTTCCATTCTGCACGCGGCCTCCATGCTGAGCACCAGACGACTCGGTTTCACTAGACTCTTTAGAATCATCTTTTCGCTTTCCGTCGTCCATGGATCCAGTGCCATGGATTACACCTTCAGGTTCTCCCGATGCATTTACTGCTACTGCCTGATTCTGGGCATCTACTCTCTCCTCCAAGACAGCTTTTGGGCCATCAATAATATACAGGAGGGGACGTTGTCACCTGGGTTTATCGTTGACATGTTGAGCTACGTACTAGCTTATGTGATGTGGATGGTAATGGTTATTGAACTGATCCGGCAGAAGAAAGGTTTCGAACAAGTAATTAGAGAGTTAGAAAAAGTTGACACTTTTTTACAAAATCCAAAATATAACGCTACATACTACCTCATCGCTTTCAGTTTTGCAGTTCTCACGAATTTGATCGAAAAAGTGATCGTCGGAATTGAATATAATAGTTTTCTCATTGGCCTTGGATACTATTTGTACATGTCACCGATTGTGGTGTTCTCCAGCCAATATTTCTTCTTCATGGCCGTCGCCAGTGACCAGTTCTCATATTTAACTGCCCAGTTACGTTCGACATACAGACCGTGGTACTTAAATGATTTGATTACAATCCATAAAAGCCTTTGCGATACTTCGAAAAAAATCAACTCCATCTATGGTCTTCATCTGCTCATCATAACATCTGTCCCTTTCATTATCAACACGTTGAAGATCTACAGTGCAATTATGTGCGTCATAAGGCCGGACGACTATGATGATAGTTTCCTTCTTGTTGAAAATATATTTCATATAATTATGAATTGCATTATTTTTTGGTGTCTTGTGGACAGCTCATCAAGAGTCCAATGGAAGGTAATATTTATATTAATCACTAATTTTAACATATGCGTTATGGAACATTTTATTTTAGAAATCGCCTTTCGTTCTCTCTTCCCACCTCCTATTCTCGAACAGGGCATCACTTCCAACTAAAACTAATATCTTATTATTATTAAATATCATTTCTGAAAAAAACTAAGCCCCCCAATGACTTATATTATTTTCATGAAAACATAACTATAAGAATTAGGAACATTTACTTGGTAATTTTATTCAATATGAATATTTTTTTAGTTGTCGCTTCTATCAAACGTGACACATATATAAAAAAAAAAGATTAGTAAATTTCCATCTTTTCTACGAAGAACCGGACCATGATTTACATAAGCTTTTTTTCAAAAGACATTGTTTAAAAGAAAAGAAATTTCATGTAAAATTGACGAATCCCAATTCGTTTTTTTAAAATCTGTACATGTTTTCTGGATATCTGGGGTAGTTTGGTCCTTTTACTTTTTTAAAATTCTTTTAATTGTATATTATCTAATTTATTAATAATATTCTATATTAGTATATTATACTATATTGTATTTTGCTTGTTTTATTTAATTTACATATTTTCAGTAAATATGGTGTGAATGGACTCTTTTATCCCTAAAACAATTGTCCCATACTATGACAGAATGTTATATTTCTCAATAAAATAGTTTTTTTTTTTTTTAAATAAGTAGATTACGGCATTGAGAAGAAGAAATAATGTTCCATTTCGATTTGTACGCTTTTCCTTACTTTGCTAATGTAAGGTTAATAAAACATGTGTTTACTCAAACCGTTTATTTTTTGCTGCCTTTCTTCGGTAAATATCACAACTATTCTAAACATCACCTATTCTTTCAAGCTTTAAGAGAAAAACGAAACAAAAAAACAAACAAAAAAAAACTTATTTATATATTTGTTAAATCGTTTACTGCCACTTCAAAACTATCACACATACACACGCACACACACACACACATATATATATATTAATCACCGCAAAAACTATATTGGGAAATTCTCAAATATATTTTGACAATAGAGCTTTAGAAGTTGATTAGAATTATGGCATATTACTGATTGAAGAAAATAAGATCACCCAAATAAGTCTTGATACAGAATATAATAAATCGAGTATAATAAAAATAGAATTTCTAGGAGAAACTAATTTAGAACTTCACAGTAAATGTTATTTGACAGAATTCCGCTCAAACACGTGGAACTCCATAATGCATCGAATTTCTTGTTTACGTGTTAGATTATTTTTTTCTCGTTTGTTATTAACTTTATTATTTTAATTTTAAATATGTACAATGTTTGTTGAATAAAGATGGGCCATATGTAGATGTACTCCAAATATGTAAAAATACGTAATATCCTTTAAATATGTTAAGTTATGTAAAATAAAAAAGGATTTATTTTCAATTGAATTGTATGAAACATAAAATCAGCTATCGAAAAAGGGCCAACGAGGATTAGAAAAAATATGTAAATGTATATAAACACAGAGCTGTGTTAGGAACTATTGAATATATTTTTATTCGAATAATTTATTCTATAAATTTGTATAGACTAATCATTTTAGTGATGAGCGAATCAATAAATAAAAGCATTGATTTATTTTTAGAGTTATTCATTATTTTAATGATAGAAAAGTTCTCCAAATAAATCTCTTCATTACATAAAAAAGTTTTTAGTGACCGTGTAATATTTTTTTATTCCAACCTTAACAAATTGAAATGCTCAGATTCTCTCTCTCTATTATATAAAAATGTTTTTATTGACCAAGTAATATTTTATTTTTCTATCTCAACAAATTACAATGCTGGATGAAGACTTGAAATTTATTTTTTTCCTGCTTACACTATATTGAAAAAAAATAATACAATCTAAACCACAGAATAAATAAAAATTACAGTTATATATTCGTTCTTCTTTAGTTGGGAAATATTGGTGTATTAATTAAGATATTGGCAATAACAAACATTGTAACGAAATTTATTCCTTTTTATTTATTTATTTTTTCTAGCTATTCATTATAAGTAAATGCAAGAAAAAGTTCTGAAGAGAAGAAAGATTTCCCGAAAAAAAAAGAAAGAAAGAAAATGTATATCTGTATAATTAATACAGTTATTTAATTTGAGCAACGAGTACTACTATTAATACAGCTGTATGGTTTGTAAAATGGGGGTTGGTCCGCCTTCAAATGAACAGTGGGAATTGACGCAGACTTTTTATTTTGATTGGGGAGAGGGGAGAGGAGATAGACCCAACACACACACACAAAAAAAAACAAATAAATAAAACACTCCGAAGTTTATATTAAGTACAAAAATGATGAGTGGCAATTAATTGCTTATTGATGTTAACATAATCATCTCAATTACTGTAAAACGAACATTATAATACTATATAAGTGTGTGTATGTTCATACAATATATTTGTTTGTTTTTTTTTGCGTATGAGCTATGGGTTATTCCAAGAAATGTAAAGAAAGTAATTGAATATAGTTCATCTTTTTAATTTTCATTTGAAGGCTTGAGGCAGTGAGGTGAGCTGTAAATTCTACGATGCTTGTAAATTGTCCGCAGAAAAGATGATATAATATTCACGTATAAACCTTTATCTTCGAATATAATTTTTTTTATTTCCCTCTCCCTTCCTTCGTCTTTTTTTTTTTTTAATACCACAATGAGTTGGCTTGTTATATTTCTATCTTGGAGTCACACCAGATTGAGACTGTGGAAGTCTCCGTCTAACTCCCATATTGAAATGGGCGGCGACTATTTGTTCCTTCCACCCATACACGACTGCCTCGTAAAATGGGTATTTATCTGCAGCGACGAGAAGATGCAAATCTTCTTCGTTGATACTGTAGATATTTGTGCTCCTTATTAGCTTAGCTCACAGTGCCTAAAACGCAGTGCACAGTTGGTGATCACATGCTCAGCAGTTTCCGGGATACCACAACTGGAGCATAGGGGACCAAGACGGATCTACGGGAGGGGGGGAGGGGGCTTTCGGGCTGAAGCCCCCCCCCCCCTCCAAAATGGTAAAATATAACCATGTTTTATGGAAAAAAATGTTAAAAATGCCTCTTAAAGTATTATTGTTCGTGTTTGTGTGTGTGTTGTTACATTTAAAAGGACTTAAGGAATCACTTACACACCATTTTATATAGGTAGTCAGTTTCTTTCTATTTTTCCAAAGTGATTATCGTTATTTTTATGAAAAAAAAGCTTTCGGGCTGAAGCCCCCCCCCAAAAAAAAATTAAATCTTGGATCCGCCTAGTGTAGGGGATCAATGTCTTGTTCAAGATTGTGTAACTTGGTACGAAAACCCTCATTTCCAGTGCGATATTGAAAGACACAATAGTCTGCTTTGATCCATCTGACTGCTAGTCAAGACTGTACGATGGGAAAATAGTTCCTTAGGGTAGCTCCCTTAGTGGCAATGATCCACTGATTCTCTCAATATTGATTTCCATCTATTGGGCCGTTCCTCAAACCTCAGTCGAAGGTCTTCTGAAATTCCTGCCAAGACTTCTCTCCTAAAGGCATATTTGATCAAGTCTTCTTGCAGGAGGAGATCGAGAGGTATCTCCCCTGCTAATATATGCACTGCCTCCTGAGACACTGTCTTTTATGCTCTAGTGACCCACAGCAGAGCCGTCCTCTGGATAGATGCTAACTTGTTCTTCTTTCGCTGGGAGTGGTTCAGATACCATGAGGGGGATGCATATCTCAATATACCCAGCTCCCCTCCTTTGTAGATAGTCTTGGCCGTTGGGTATCTAAGGTCCCAGAAAGCTCCACTAACACGACTGAGACCATTTAGGGCGACTGTCGCTCTGTTTGTCAAGTAGTCCAAGTGAGTCATTATATAAAACTTTCTTCCAAATCTTACGCCGAGGTAGGTTACCACCTTTATATAGGGATATAGGGATATAGGGCGCGACAAAATACTCCTATGCCTTAGCTTAGCCGTCTCGTCAAGTTTTCCTATTTTCTTAATTGATTTTAGATTACATACTTTATTCATTCAGATAGCTTAATTGATATAAATGTTTATTAAATTTCCGTTCTTCGAAATATTGGGGGGCGAACCTATATTCTCGCCCCTCTCTATTTTTATTGGGGAAGGGCAACCGCCCCTCTCCCTCTCCCGAAGTCTGCTCAAACGGCAGGGGGTACCCATAGTATTTAATAATTAAAAATATCCGCAAATTTAAAATGTATTCAGTATAAATAATTTCTGAATATACATTTAATCAAAGAATAATCATTCCAAAAATAAATTTATTTTTTCTTCAAAACTAGGATCCATTAAAAAGTTCTAAAATGAGCATTTAATGAAAATAAAAACAATTTTAAGATAGAGAAATCACCTGTAGGGTTTTTTTTTCTGATTTCTGCGGTACAGATTCCATTCAAATTTTATCGGCACTGCTTTTCTGAAAATAAACAATTTTAAGGTTGCGTCATCGTACGTCGGAGTTTTTTTTTCGGTACAAGGATCTATTATTAAGTTATCGCAATGACCTTTTCTGGTTACCAATTTTTAGATTGTGCTATGGCGTATCACGTTTTTGTAACATCTTCGATTTCTTCTATAACGGACCATTATTGAACATTTAGCGGCAGTTTTTATGAAAATAGTATCGATTTTTAGATTGCGTGTTATTGTAGCCTTTTGATTTTTCGAACACGAAAGGACTCTATAACTCTCAATAGTATAAAATAAGTTCTATCTATATCAATAGATGAAATATTTAACGTAATTATTTCTATAGCACTGCTCGGCCGAATAACCGCAAATCCGATCCATGTCAGATTGAACTGTCATTCAGCCCGGTTCGATTGACGAAGAGATTGTAATAGACGACCTCTTACGTTTTGCCCACTTGGCAGATCATTTGGCCATAAACGGGCACTGGGCGACTGATCTCAAATTTCGCCAGTGTGTTGAATAACATAACATTGTTTGCTCTATTATGATCTTACAGGTCATAAATTATATTCGTTAATTATTGGGCTCACTCGTGCAATATTTGTTAACCAGATGACGAAATAACGGACTGACTTGGCAGGTTCCCTTGAATAGCTAACCAACCTGAATT